TGTCCAAAATGTCATTCGAGGTCAGAAGATGATTAATAAATATTTGCTACCCAAATGAACCATTTGCGGAGATATCCAGTGTACAGCGGAGCTGTGCGGAGCTCGGCGGAGATACCGTACATACGCTATACGTGTGAGCGAAACAGCACTCTTTGCTGTATTTACATTTCTATTGTTCAATACACATCTAAGTAGCCATGAGCGCACTGCTTTAGATATAGTGTATGTATGGCATCTCCGCCGAACTCCGTGCACTGAATTTCTCCGCAAATGGTTCACATGGGTAACGATAATCGTTGTTATAAGTTTTAAGATGCATAATGAATTCAATACTCAAAACCGAATTACCATAAAAGGCGAACTTGGTTCCATTTTTTAATATGTAGCGAATATCCACCCCACTTGAACAACATTTGCTAACGGTGTAACAATTGTTCATCTCGTTTATATTTTAGGAAGATCATGTAATGTTGTTGCTGTTTTAAACCGTGCTAAGAAAATAAGTAGAATGAGAGATGTGACAAAAACAAATTGGCTATTTGCACACGGTGTAAATGAGATTGATTACAGAAAGTGTTCAAGCATCATCCGAAACACATCAAAAATGAATTTCAATAAACACGAAGATTAGGTCGAAGAGTTTCTGAGTGCGTGTGTGTAAAAAAAAAATAATAAATTAAAATTTGCTTGATTCATAAATAGTTTCATTTATATTTCAAAGAGAGACGAAGTTTCATTACGAAATGGTGGAATTTTCTATCACGGAAAATCGTCTGTTTTCGCACAATTAAAGGTTAGTTAGTTTAAAGTGTCTCAAATGGTTTAACAGTGAAAATTTCCATTGAAAAGTGTATGTGAAATAATATTCTAATTATTAATAAACTATTCATTTTTTTTTTTCTCGATCGATTCTGTGATGATGTGGAATCTTTTATGTCAAATATGTGCAAAACAAAGTGGATGTCAAAACTGTTCACGATTCGATCGAAACGTGATATTGTGTTGTGGTACATACGGTGAACATGGGCGTAAGAAACCATTTGAAATCCCATAGTAATTTAAGGAGATTTTTAACTGGCCAAGCTACCAAACTGGCCAACTACCGCTAAGAAAGAAAAAAATACAAATTCAAATTGAATACAGAGAGAGAGAGAGAGAGAGAGAGAGAGAGAGAGAGAGAGAGAGAGA